ATTTGTAAATTTGTACCCCTATTCCCGAAAACTCTGTAATAGCGTAGAATTTTAATTCCCGCAATTTATTGTTTTCCTTATACTGTATAGTAATTAGGCGTGCATGGTAAGACATAAAATCAATCGCTAGATAACCTAATTTCAAAGACAAAATAACTCGAAACGAACACACTTTTCACACGCGCACCTCTAAGGTAACCTCCCTTGTTGCCTCGGAAACACAGTCATGTCCCTCGAATATGGGACACTTTTGTAATGAACCTTCGATAAAAAAGATCGTAGTCCCTCGATGACCCTCGACGTTGCCTTCGATAAAACAATCTCGTCCCTTACAAAAATTGCTAAAGTGTCACATAAGTTGATTTTGATGACTGTAAAAATTGACCCACGCCTGTCCCTTCACATCCAACGATGGGGCTTCTTACCAAATCAATGGTAAGATAGCAACATCTAAAGGAGAAAGAAAAGAAAATTTAAGACCTTTCGAGTAGGTAGATTCGCTCCTAGTTGCTCGCTTGCTCACGACAAAAACATTTTACACCAACACTTTCATCTCAAAACATTTTTAAAAGAAAAAACCTTTTGTATACGTTCTTATAGAGACGAGAACCATTGTAAAACATCTTTTCAAAAACCACTTTCAAAAACACATTCCACAAACACATCTTTGAACTATCTTTCGAAACAACACTTTGTACGCGTTCTTATAGAAACGAGAACCATTACAGAGACATTTTCAAAATATTTTCAAAGCCCACACCACAAGCACATTGTCAAAGCAAAAGTAAGTGATCTAGCGAGTAACTAAGAGCCCATGGAAAACCATGGATGAAAAGGGTGCTAATACCTTCCCTTTTCATAATCTACCCCCCGAACCCGAGAAATAATCTCGAAAGGTCTTTCCTGTGCTTTTTTACCTTTCCTTTTGGATAAAAGAAAAGTCGGTGGTGACTCTTGCTATTCGCACAAATGCGATCAAAACACAAACACCTCAAGTCACTTCTCCCACTGTATCACAGAACTGGCGACTCTGTTGGGGACGTCTTAAAAGTGGGGAGGGTTAGATCACCTTTACTTGCTTTCATTTTTTGATTTGTATGCTTTATATTTTTTTCTTTGTTTGGGCTTGCTTTGATCCTCCACCCGGATCTGGGACACCTTTTTAGGTAAATAGAAATAGATTGTGGAAACTGTACGGCGTAGACCAATATGGTTGAAACAATGGCTATGTTAGTGTGACGGATTTCTGGGTACTGGTATCCCTTGTGGTGAATCGAGGAGAATACGGGGCCGCTGAGTGGCGTCATGAAGCACTAACTGACTTTAGAACCCTAGTTGAACAAACTTGGCCATTAGGACGTAGTGAGATAACCGTTTTCGGTGTAGAGCTGAAAATTGGTTGATACTCGATACTACACTCATCGAGGATGGACTTTTGGGATATCTCGACCGCAAGAAAAGATTGATTATACTGAGACAATGCCTAGAATAAAGGTCGGTGATATTGAGATCCTTTAGAACACGGTCACTATTACTAGGATAGGTTGAGCCAACTAAACTACAATAGGGTACTTACCTACAACCTCCATGCAAGCCTAAACCTAAGGACTTGTCAACTTTGTGTGTATATAACAACTTGCTTTGCATGACATCATGACATCATACCATAGCATTTCCAATAACCTTTTCAAGGATCTCAAGGGACTATGATGCAGGGTCATGTTGAACCAGACGCCTATCCAGGGGAAATAGGATTTATTTTCCTCCAACCGAACACTGTCAAAGATCAAGTACAACAATTTGAGTCAAGGGCTATGACCCACTTGACATGGTGAGCTTGATTCTATTGGAAAGACATCCACCGGTACAAAGTTCTCCAATAAAAAAATGTTGATCAAAGTTTAATCTCTAACTTTTTCTTGTGTTTACCTCGCGAGATCCTTGAAAACATGCATTCACATATCATGCATCATATCATGACAGGTTTCTCCCACACAGGTCTCCTTATTTTCCTACTGTTTATTTCAGTAAGATGGATATGGAACAAACAGTGAAAGACATCCAGGGTCAAAACGCCCAACTCCGAGATTTGTTCTTGAACATATCCAAGGGGAAAGAAGAAGTGAAAGCTCTCCTCACTAGGGGCATGATCACGGGGAATCTTGAGGGAAACAAGGATGATCAGTTGGAAAGGCTACAAACTGAATTTGCCATAATAAGGATCCAAATGATGGGACAATTGGTGGGCCAGATGGCTCTTATCCAAAATCTGGCTCAAGGATAAGAAGAGTTGAAAGTTCTTGTCAACCAACTTCGTCAAGACGGTTGCAACCGTATAGGGGAAACAATCAGGATTGGAAATCAAGTCACTGCTCAGCCTCCCATGAGGCAAGAAGCCAGAAGACCTTCCCAATTTGCTACTACCTCACGGGCCTGATGAAACAACCGGCTGAAAATCATCAAACAATGAAGTCTCCATTGAATGTCTTTTATCCCACAGGTAGGGAAAGGTAAACATCGAGAAAAACTGAAAATGGTGAAATCACGGTCTTGTGACCGAGAGATAAGGGTAAGGGAGTCTGTTACGCGAGGGGAAGGTATTAGCACCCCACACGCCCGTAGTACTCTACGGTATCCACTCTTGTTGTCTATCTTATGGGTGTGTTTAATCTATGCTTACTGTTTATTATTGCTAAAGGGAAAATGCATGCAAAAGAAATGAGAAAAGAATGTAGGGAAAATAAAATTGTGCTCGCTTGGGCCCTACTCCAATGCCTACGTATCCCTTTTAAGGAATCAGAGCAGCCGTAGTTCGGCTTATATTTTTGTTGGTTTGTATTTTTTTTACTGAAAAATATTAATTTTGCCTTCTGCCGCAACTCGACCTTTGGAGACTTACGCGTCAGCACATAAGTGAATTAATATGCTCTTTTGAAAAGGTTTTGCAAGGAAGGCCCAAAGGCAAAAAGAGTTCGTATTGGTTGGTATTTTTGCTTGTAGATAATAGCTAGTTAATCTCAAGGGAGAGACTTTAGCCATGCCTCTACTTATTCCTGAAATGATTCTTTGAGACTTGAACCATGCCAAGCCTTAGAATAAGAGAACAATAAGATCGAGAAGAAACCCGCTTATCATCTCCCAAACATAGGAAAGGCATGATTCTTGTCAGTAAATTTTTATGTATTTTTGAAGTTTGGAAAAAAAGTTTTAGTTTTAGATGCGTATGCAAAAAGGAGGAAGGAAAGTCACAGGGAGACTAGCCTATATTTATTCCTAATATCATTATACTTCACACAATCTACGAGAATGGATAAATGCAGGGTGAACGTAGAAAGGAAATATACCAAATGAGTACTAGTCCATAGAGCAAAGCATAAAAAGCAAAGATGCTTGAAGATCTCGTGAGCTGTTAACATCAATAAGGAAAGGAGTTAGAAATCCAATACTCGGAATAAATGTTGAGGTATCACCGATGTGAAAATTTGTCACACTCGAAATTTCGGGCGTATTTACATGTCGCCTAATGAACCTGCATGAGATTTAAATCTCAATAAGCAAGGGTGAATCATGAATTTCAAGTATAATTGGGTAATCGGGATTTACTTCCTAAAAATCGCATAAAAAAACTAACGAATTTTTATATTTTTTTTCTTTATTGTTTTTTTTATGTGAGAGAAATAAAAGAGAAAAGAAGAACAAATTTAAACAATTCACAAAAAGGAAAATATTGAAATACTAAACTCCAAGGGGTACCATATTACAGTCAAGGGGTGCTGAAGTAATTTGATGCTAACCCAAACCAAAAGAATCCAATGTTCCTTTTGTTCATTAGGGTATTAGGCCCCCTAATGCATGATTTCAAGATATTCTCCATATCGATGGTCCAAAAATAAGCGGGCATATGAACTGCAAGCCCGGTCCACTTACGAATTATTTATCATCCATATTGAAAAGAAATAAAAAAACCAAATGAGTAAAAAGAAAAAGAACAAAATAACTCTCCGCTATACTATCACCGTCACACAACAACCAGCAATTCCCAAACCGTGAACCATTGAACACCAAACCTCAATCAGAGTCGGATCCTGATTCTTAACCCTACGCCTTTTTTTGAATTTTCAATCGTATCCACCTAATTCTGCAACTTCATAAACCTCAAAAATTGAAAGAAGGGGGAAGAAAACCAAATGCCGAAGATGCTTATAGAACCCTTAGATAAATTGATGGTTATATTAGTGACGCAAACCGTTACAAGAATGGAGAAATGAAATAAATTGCAGCTTACATAACAGAGAGATTCCGATGATGGTGCCGGTAGCGTAAGAATTCCAGTAGCTTTCAGATAACTCAAATTTCTATTCTTGCGTGTTTGATTCTGCTTGCGTGTTTTTCTTTTATTCTTTGCATTCTCTGTTCATCTTCTTCTTCTACTCCATTTTTTTGTGTTCCTGTGTTGTTTCGTGGCGTGTGAACGGGTTGAATATGACAGAGTAAAAATGAGGGTGAAATGGTGTAGATTAAGTGATTGAGAAACTGGTGGTGTATGTGAGAGAATCTTAGAGATCAAGAGAGGATAAAAGGGTGGAGAAAAATGAAAATCGTCCCCTGAGATTGAAGATGGGGATGCGGTTATATAGGAGTTTGAAGGTGATGGATGCGGTTATGGGAGAATCGATCCGAACCACTGATTTGAGTAGAGTTTGTTAGGGATTGAAGGGTGAGATTGAAAGTTTGTTACAAGGTGGTTATGCTAGTTGGGAATTCTGTTTTTGGCTTAGGAAAACAGTTTGGAGTTTGTTATAGATAGTTAGGAAATTCTGTTGAAGTTTGTTAGAAGCAGTTAGAACAGAGCTAAAATTTGGCTAACTGTTAATTAGAGAACGATTATGCTCTTTTTTTTATTACGAAATTCAAGCTTTTTTTTTGGAAATAGCATGAAGCCCATACTTAAGTGAATTGATTCCTCTTCAAACTCACTCTTAATTCTTAACCTCAAAGCCTTAAGATTCCGAAGTTCTTTTTTCTGTATTTTTATGTGAAGCCTGTGATTGCATGTCTCGTTGCAAATAATTTGGTTGTTGTTGTAAACTCATTAGCTGTTGCAATTGTGCAGGCTGAAATTGAATCGGTGGCATCAATTGTTGTCGTGGAGGTAATATTGATTGTTGAGTCATTCGTGCTTGTTGTTGATACCTTGACTGAAAACTCGCTGAAGGTAATGGACCCCGCAAGTCTTTTACCTGTGATGATCTTGGCAGGTCTCCAACCTGAATATTAGGAGAAAGGGTGGGTGAAGAATCTTCAATATATTGGCTTTGCATACCTGCCAAAAATGAGATGTTTTACGAGTGCGAGGATGGTCTTGTTTATCAAAATTTTCCATTAGACAAGTGTGGTCATTACTTGATGGCGAGGGAGAGCATTGTCGCAAAGGTGACCGCCCAGAAGTGGATTCAGATCCTACAGAATGAAATTGTTGTCCCCCAATTCTTGCATTGAGCAGGAAAGTATGATTCCCCCTCCCGACAGCAGAAGAATTTGTATCACCTAGTAAGGAACCATACATTAGGATGTATCCATCTGAGTGACTCAGTTCCTTATCCAATTCATCAATTGATTGCTGGTCCTGTAATTTCCACAATAATGCTGGATGATGCCGAAATTGTTTCTTTTGAGTGGCTTGAGATTTATTAGTGTCATCCTCAAACCTTGAAAGGAAAACAACTGGAATGATAACTGCATGATATCCACCAATAACATATGTTGCCCTGGATGAATAGCTTCTTAAGATAAATGCACATGCAATTTGAGAGCTTTTGTTACCAGCACTTAAAGCTGCAGTATCTTCAATAAATTTCTGGGCTTGTGAGACTGCAACATAGTTCAATGTTTTGCACAGGCACCTGCAAAGGCGTGTTTTACAGTAGTACTCTTTCTTCTTTGACAACGGAAAACAACAATCTCACCAGAATATTAGCATATGGCTTGATGTCAACACCAACACTTTCAAGCAACAAAGTAATGAAATTGGCAAAACCAACTCTAGTATTAAGACCCACACCGGATCGTACTAAATGAGCGAGTCGTGGGATCAATGTGTTCAATGATTCTGCATCAACAACTTTAATACATGAGTCTAAAGTTTCCCACATTGGAGAACCTTTGGCAATGGAAATTCTAAAACTTTCAAGCTTTTCTGATTTAATTCCAACGGTTGCTGCGTGAAGCTTAACGTAATTGAGCCCTTGATCTTCTAAGCTTGATAAACTTTCAAGCATGCAGCACACTAAATCAGACAAATGGGACGGATTGCAGTTCCAACATGCTTTGTAAGCTTCATAAGAATTCCAATTGATTCCTTCCTAACATTGTCAACTTTACTTAATATACCTTCTCAACTCATTTTCATATCTCTGCAGAACAAACTGCTCCTCAGAGATTATAATGCTTTGTGACAGAACAGTTAACATCAGAAAATGGTTTTCTACAAGTCCTCCCTGCTCGATGAAGATAATCAATGGCATTTTTGGTAGATCAAAGTTGTATATGTGAGTCATTTCTGGAAAGTCAACTCCTCTAGAAGCTACATCTGTTGCCACTAGAAGATAGCCGCCACCTTTCTTGACCTCCAACATAGAAGCTGCTCTTGAATTGAAATTTATGTCATCTTCGAGAAGGAGGATATTTAAAGAACCATGATATGATGTCTTTAGAAAGTTAATCACAAGGGATGTGGACGGAGCATTTCCAGTCTTTTTCGACTTCTCAGACTGCTCACTAACAAATATAATGCCAGACTCAGGAGCATCAGATTGAATCAAGGATAACAGGGTTTGTAGTTTTCTCTTCTTATCACATACTATAAATATGTGATATAGGCGAGATGGCATGGGCTCCACTGGATTAACGTGAATATGGATCACATCCCTCTTAGTCCATTTATGCTGCACAACTTCGTTAAGAAATCGATTGTGCTGTGGTATAGATGCACTGGAAAACACTGTCTGAAGGTTATTGCAGGATGAATAGGTCAAAATCTTCCGGAGAGAACTCGCTTGCTTTGAAGAATTGAATATGAAGTCAACCTCATCAACAACCAACACCCGCAAGGTTGCAAGTGAAAAAAGTTGTTTTTCTAGCATTTGACACAAACTCTCAACTGTTGCAACTACTATTGCTGGAGGCTCTGCCTTAAACCAACTCTCGTGCCTTCTCAATGTTGTGTGCTTCTGTGACCTCTAGAGCAAGGATGTAAAATCGATTTATAAACTCAAAGAAAGCACGACGGGTTGGGTACCCAGCATAACTAATCCCGATCGCCTCTAAAACACCACCACAACGAAGTTGTTGCATAATATTGACATTCTCAAAAACAGCTGGCTTGAGGAGGTTGTTTGGTTTCACACATCTAACATAATGAGGCTGCGTTGAGTTTAATGTCTCCATTAGTTGTTGTAGTTGCAGCTTAAAATGGGAACCAATAGAAGAAAACTTAGAAGATTTTGATGTCTCATCTGGAAGTTGAGGAAAAAGGCCCGCTACAAAAGGACATTTGGAAGAACCCAACAAATCTTGATGTTCAGGAACCACATAATCCTTGTTTTTATCTAAAAATTGGTCAGACTGGTACTGCACCTCGCCTGCATAATATGCAATAGTGAAATCTGTTTGAGAAGGTTTTGGTTTAATAAAGAGCTTGTGACTCTTAAATGTTTGATAAAGCTTGTTTGAAAATGTTTCATGTGTTGACTTTGGAAACATGCAAGCTTCATCTAGGAGAGCAATAATTCCTCCAAGTTTCTTTTCAATAAGGTCCAAAACATCTTGGTTGTCAACAAATTCAATGTAGCTCCAATCGATCTGTTCCTTCATATATTCTTCTTGTTCCACTTTTGAACTGGTTTGGTTGATACATGTAGGGCTGCAATATAATTATGTAACAACTGCTCTATTTTCTTTGACTGTGGATTTATGATTTGCTGAACTACTCTTGTGTGTGTACAGCAGGACCCTTTTAGCATCGGAATTTTGTATTGGGTGTTTGGACATAACTTGTAATGGCCATTGAAATCTTTGTAATAGTTTTTGAATAGTCGAAACTCGAACCTTTAACAAAGATAAACATAATGCTATGTAGACTTGACTCAATCACCAAATACAAAATTTTGCGCAATATGGCCATATCAATGCACCCAAAAATTTCTCAGCCTTTCATTTCAAAATTCCTTGGTTTACCTCGAATGAATCTTGAATGAGATTTTGCATTATGGATGAATCTTGCAACCTTAAAATATTGATCCACTTGAATGTCCCGCTAGTAGAACACATCCATATAAATGGGCTTTCCAATCTACATGTTTGAACCGGCCATAAGGGAGTCATAAACCGATACCTTGAATTATGTTTCTTGATTATTTGCCAACGGAATTCATAACATATATGAGCCCTTGAGCCGGTCAACGCTCGGTAAGAAAGTAAAATTAGTATACTTCCATGGCATGTTTAATTACTGAACCTTAATCTCAATTGAATCCATAAATTCTAGTCATCTTGAATTTGAAACAACCACATTTCATTTGATAAAATGAGCTAAATGAACTCCTGACCCATAACTTAACTTAATAAGACATACCTGGACTTAATAAAACCCAAAGAAATCCTTAATCGCTCGTCAAAGGAAAAAACTTTGATTCAATCCCTTAGGCATCTTGGAAAAAGGTCGACTTATAAAACAAGTAGTCCTTAGATGATGACGAACCTCCAACAAGGGGAGGGTAGTGCTCCATGTAGCCTTGAAGTGAGACTTTAGTCCGATAAACCTCCATTGAAGAACCACTACCAAGTTTGAACAAAATGAAGAGAAACTCCGATTCTCTTGACCATCCTAATTCCACTGTTCACAGCCTGAATAAGAAATCAGCCTTTATTGGATGCAAATGTATGTTAATGACCTAATGGAATATATGCAGATGAATGCGATAGTCTAAGACAAAATAGAAGAAATTAGGAGGGCAAAGTTTGGGGTGCAACACCTGACAACAACCTCTCCAACAACAACAGGGGAATCAGCGCAAAGAGGTCGCACCTAAGAGACAATTCACCAGGATCGACATGTCACTAGCTCAGGTACTACAATATATGTTGAAGGAGGAGCTAATTACATTAAAAACTCCCCCCCCCAGAATCTTAATACTGCTGCTCCTAATTACTGTCCCAATGAGAGGTGTGCATACCATTCTGATAGTCCTGGGCATGATACAAACAATTGTTGGGCTCTGAAGAACAGAATTCAAGACCTAATCGATGAAGGAGTGTTGGAATTTACACAAGACGATCAACTGGAGCTCTTCTATCACCCCTCAAGGGCATCCACGTGAAGTGACGATCTGGGCGAGGAGATTTTCTGTTTATTCAAATTTTCAGTTGTAATTTCTTTGTTTGCTTAAAACACTTATCTTTATGTCAGACTTTGGTTACTCTCATTAATGCATTAAATATGTTTGTCTTAAATCAATCCATTCATTTTCATTATATCCTAAACTATGCTTTTTATTCTCTTCATGATATTCAACTCTTGTTTCAAAAGTTGCAAGCCTTTAAAAGGAGGATGACGAAAACAATGCCTTAATCTCATACAGTATGCTTTTGGATAGACCTTGCTGACGATGTACAGGCGTTTTTTTCAAATCCTAAACATTGGAGTTATAAGGAAGATAATCCCTAGTCAACCCCTTCGAGCCAAAGAAGTAGAAGTTTCCTTTTTACACAAATTGAAACCTTTAATCAAAACCTAGGGCAGAGTAGTCTCTCAGTTAATTCAAATGTGCGTTCAAATTGCAAACTCTCATCTTGTAATACAACAAATGACATCAAAATATTCCTTTGGAATCAAAAGACAGTGATGGTTCCCTACCAAATAGGCAGTCCTTAGCTCTCAAGAGAAAATCCCACTTAGTCAAAACCTACAAAGGAGACTTAAGAAAAACTGGGGCATCCCGCTGACTGTAATCTCAAAAACAAGAACAGTCAGGCAAAATTAAGGATAATAAATCAAAATAAAGAGGTCACTGCAAATCCTCAACAACATGAAAAATGTTGCAAAAATGACTGCCTTCCGACAAACTTGACTTGTCTGAGCCATCACCAACGCGTCATTCCAGACTCAATTGGAGTTCAAACGCACAATTAACTGAGTTTAGGACTGAAGAACATCACGAAGAGCGGGTGGATACAAATACACTTTGAGCCTTTATCCTTTGTTTCTTAAACCATGAACCCAGACCATGATACAACCTTTCAAAGTCCTTATTGAAGCATGGGTTAGTTCGAAAGCATACTGTTACAAAAGGTATCCTGACTCCTGTAAGGCTTACTCGAAATCTTTATTTAAACTCACATACTTGCAAAACTCTTTTATCTGCTAAAACGCATTTTCAAAACTTCAAGACAAGAATAAATTTTGCATTATTGTGAATACCGCCGTTTGCATATGGCTAATTGTTTGACAACAGAGAAATCCACACGACGAGTATTCAGCAAATGAAACCTCTCTCAATAAACAAAATCACTTCAAATGGAAAGACGCTTCAAATGTCAAATCTCTCATAACCAAGGGGCACGACATGACCATTGTCCAACACATCTGGGGCAGTCAAGTAGAGATTCAAAGAATCTCTCAAAGAAATGTTGAATCACTCAAGGGGCAAATCTTCATCTGAATCACTCAAGTGGCAATGTTATGTTGATCATGGGTTTGAACAGAATCCACTATGAAGAATTCCGATACCATCAAATCACTTGTTTGTACATTTAGTATCAGATGGTGCCAGTATCATGTCTTCGTATCCTCCCATGACAGTTCTTAGAAAATTCTGAGACTTGACCAAAGATCTTGGGTACCACCAATTTGTTTGTTGGTGCCAGTAGTACCAGATGGTGTCAGTATCAAGTCTTTATTTCCTTCCACAACAGTCTTAGAAAATATCCCTAGAAAGTTCAGGGCTACCCAAAACGTGATCAAAATCTCAAACATCGAGGGGCACCAGATTAACTCTAGGGGCAAACTGGCTCTCACATATAAAGGGTCATGTGTGACCAAGCAAACATTTTCTGGTATTACTATAAAAGTTACTACTATAGACAGTGACAAATCCCCACAAAATACCTTTCATAAGGTGATCCCCAGTGAAGTTGCCAGAGTCACAAGGCTATCCCCGACAAGTGCAGAAGCATCTTTAAACAAAAATGGGGCATCCTCCAGCCAATGACATAGTCAAACTTGCCAGCAAATAGAAGAGTTTTAATCTTCTCCGAACAAACGCATACATCACACTAGTTCCCAAACAGAGGATACAATTCTCTTGCAAATACGATTCAAATACGATCCAGATTGGCGACAGGGATTATTTCTCCAACAAAAGGAAAGATTACCCAGTTTGAATTTGCTTCCCAGATTATCATAAATCAAGGGACGACAGCTCCTCTTCCCCAGCAGACTGCTCTACAATCCCCATAGGTACTTTCTCCAGCAGGAGCGGAAACAAGGACATCCTACTACAGGATCACTAACGTATCTCCAATATGCAGCCTAATGGTATCAGGTGCTCTCACATCCCGACGAAGCAAAAATTCTAGTTACCATTCCAGAGATTCCCCAGTGAAAGTCGCCCAACTTCTCAGGATTCCCCAGCAGGATTTCACAAAGTCCACAAGTAATGCACGACGTTTCCCTTCCCCAATAGAGTTTATTTCTCTAATAATGGAAACTCATCCATCCATGCTTCAACTTCAACAAAATATGAAGACTTACACTCCTCATTCCTAGCAGTACTCTGGGATTTATTTTCCCTGAGTCCAGCAACATTGCAGCAGAATAATTAATATGTTCATACATTACATTCATATTTCATGGCATTGAAAACACAAATGCATATAGCGCAATCTCATGTCATGCATTTCATACATCATGGCATCACATACAACTAACTCTTCATCTTTTCAGGAAAAATCAATCAACAGGAAATTATCATCAAATTTCCGACAAGATAACTATTTGTGGACAAATCAATTACAGATCAATTCCCGAGAAAGGACTGATTGACCATCTACATAACAAATATTTCCTTCAGACCTCTGCCGGTTCAGTTTAAATCTCTCAACGTTTTATCCTGATTCTTCCCCGCAGAATTATTCTCAAGCAGAGTCTCTCCCCAGCGGAAGTAGAAGAACCACAGTTTTCTACAAACAGTCAGGAATTCTATTTCCAATACTCTCCAGCAGCAGTCATGGATTTATTTTCCCAGACTCGAGTCCAAGATTAGCTCCTGAAACTAAACAGAGTAATCATTTGCACGACCAAATACAACTTCACACGGATTTATCTTGAAAAATCCGACCCAGGTTCCTTCTCATAGCCCTACGACCCAGGCTTTCATTTCGAAGTAACCCTACGACCCAGGTTCCTTCTCATAGCCCTAAGACCCAGGCTTTCATTTCAAAGTAACCCTACGACCCAGGTTCCTTCTCATAGCCCTACGACCCAGGATTTCATTTCGAAGTAAACGTACGACCCAGGTTCCTTCTCATAGCCCTACGACCTAGGCTTTCATTTCGAAGTAACCCTACGACCCAAGTTCCTTCTCATATCCCTACGGACCCAAGCTTTCATTTCGAAGTAACCCTACGACCCAGGTTCCTTCTCATAGCCCTACTATCCGGGCTTTCATTTCGAAGTAACCCTATGACCCAGGTTCCTTCTCATAGCCCTACTATCCAGGCTTTCATTTCGAAGTAACCCAACGTCCCAGGTTCCTTCTCATAGCCCTACTATCCAGGCTTTATTTCGAAGTAACCGTACTACCCAGGTTCTCATA